TTTTAGTAGAAGTATGTCTTAAGTCAGGAAATCAAGCAATTTATATTCCATTAGGCAAATATGCTACAAAGACACTAAAGTGTTAAAAAGCAAAGATGTCACTTTGAAAATTAAGGTGCATCTAACTGAAGTCATGGTATTTTCAATTACCTCATATGCATGCAAAAACCAGATAATTGATAAGGAAGCCCAAAGCACAAGGGATATCACTGCTGACATCAGCTGGATCTTGGCTGAAAGCAGAGAATACCAGAAAGATGTTTACCTGTGCTTTATTGACTGACTATGCAAAGGCTTTCAACTGTGTGGATCATGACAAGCTATGAGCAACATTGAGTATTCCCAAACACTAAATTGTGACCATGAGGAACCTGTACATAGACCAAGAGGTAATTGTTCAAACAAAACAGGGGAACACCGAATAGTCTAAAATTAGGAAAGGCGTATACAAGGGTTGCGTTCTTTCACCACACTATTCCATCTGTACTCTGAACAAATAATCCAAGAAACTATTATACGAAGAAGAAGGTGGCATCAGGATTGGACGAAGACTCATTAACAGCTGTGTGACATCCAAATGATACAACATTGCTTGCTAAAAGCAAAGAGGACTTGAAATACTTGCTGATGAAGATGAAAGACCACAGCCTTCAGTATAGGTTGTACCTCAATGTAAAGAAAATAAAAATCCTCACCATTGGACAAATAAATAATATCATGGTAAATGGGTAAAAGATTGAAGTTCTCAAAGACTTCATTTTGCTTGACTCCACTACAACACACATGGAAGCAATCGTGAAGAAATCAAACAACGCATTGCATTTGGCAAATCTGCTTCACAAGACTCTTTAAAGTGCTCAAGAGCAAAGATGTCAGTTTGAGGACTAAGGTGCCCCTGACCTGGGCTATGGTGTTTTCAATAGCTTCATATGCATGTGAAAGTTGGGACAAGGAATAAGGAAGACTGTAGAAGAATTGATGTATTTGAGTTATGGTGTTGGAGACGGATATTTAAAGTACCATGGACTTCTAGAAAAACAAACATGTCTGTGTTGGAAGAAATACAGCCAGAATGCCAAATACCTCAGAAGCCAAGATGGCGATACTGTTTCCCATACTTGGGACATATTATCAGGAGGGACCAGTCACTGGAGAAGGATATCATGCTTGGTAAAGGGAAGGGCCAGGGAAAAAGGAGACCCCCAAGGAAGTGGATTGGCACAGTAGCAGCAGCAGCGGGCTCAAGCGTAACAATTGTAAAGAATTGCAGGACTGAGCAGTGTTTCATTCTGTTATGCATAAGGTCACTATGAGTCAGAACTGACTCAATGGTATCTAACGACAACAACAAAAGAATTGATGTCTTTGAATCATGTTGTTGTTGAAGAAGAAGAAACATACCATAAACCATCAGAACGAACAAATCTGTCTTCGAAGTATAGCCAGAATGCTTCTTAGAAACAAGGATGGCAAGATTTCGGTTTTTGTTTTTTTTTTGGTTACGTTATCTGGAGGTTATCAGTCCCTGTAGGAGGACACCATGCGTGGTTGAGTAGAAGGTCAGAGAAAAAGGCGAAGAACCTCAACGAGATTGACACAGTGGCAGCAGCAATGGACTCAAACCTAGGACTGATTGTGTGCATATTGCAGGACCTGGCAGGTCAGCGTTTCATGCTGCGGAAGTAGGCTTGCTGAGTCCAAATTGAATGAACTACATTCAACGTCTTAATGCGTCATAGGATACACGAGTACTTATACCTATCTGAAATTAAAATTTTATAGGCATTCCTGTACTTTACCTGACAATCTTATTCAATAGCATAGGATTCAAGTATTTATACAGTGCCTTCCCTAACTGCCCAATATGCTTGTTTAATCAACATTGTTTATTCACAGACTTAACCCAGTGCCTGAGGGCATACAATAAAGGCCCTATAATATTTGTTGAGTGATTGAATTAATATATCAAGAACATTCTTCCAATTATGGGCCTAGTTCTATGAGCATGCTAAAATTAAAGTTGGATTTTTTTTTCCCTTAATATTTAGAGAAAAAAAATAACTGAGCGTTCAAAAAATCTTGCATTTGTACAGCTTTTCACATTTTAGCTGGCAGAGTTCACGCTTGATGGGAACATAATCAAGGGCTCATAATGTACTCGTTGCAGGCTGGCCCCATATGGTCACCGGTAGGGAGCGAATCCTATGCTCACGACGTTTACAAGCCTGCGGTAGGCGGCGACTCCTTCTCCCTCCCAGGGCGCCGAGGAGCCCGCGCATGCGCACAGCTGCACACCGGCCCCGCGGGTCGGGCAGAAAGAGGTGGAGCTCCCGGGGCGCGTGCGTGGCTGCGCGCACGCCCCTCCCACAGCGGGGGCGCGCGGCACGGAGGACCGCACGAAAAGGGGGAAGTCAGGTGGCTGCCGCTGCCGCTGCCGCCGCCGCCGCAATTTGTCGCCAGAAGAAAGATGGCGGATCTAGAGGAGCAGTTGTCTGATGAGGAGAAGGTAAGAGCTGCGGGGGCGACGGAACACGTCGATCAGGAGCCCGCAGAGCCCCGGCGTAGCAGTCCGGAGTCTGGCCACCCGGGAGGGGCTTCGCCCATTGCCTTTGCCCTCGGCTGCCCTTCCTTCCCCGCTTCCTCGCTGCGGTCTAGTGCCTGCCCCTGTCAGTCACCGAGGCCCTGCGCGGTGAGCTGGACGCAGCCGGGCCTGTTCGCTCCGCTCCTTGTAGGGTGTGTGCACCGAA